AACAATCCTTTATTCTGTTTGGTCGCCACCTTTCTTACTGATAGGACAGGCAGGATTACTCACCAGTCTTCATTGGTGGCAATCGACTTAAGATGGCTGTTTCTCAGTATTTCTCAGTTATATGTAGCATTTACATCTCAATTTGTTGAGTATTTATTCCATTACATGGATATTATATGCTATCATTTGTAATAGATGATTAGGAATTATATATTAGCTGGTTATATTCCTTGCTTTAAATGTCACTGCTCAAAGATAGACAAATAATAAGGTAAACAGTGACTTAATTGAGTAATTTGAAATATAAAACTTGCTATTTAAGTTGTACAAAGATTCCTGGTACCATATTCACTTGCTGAAAATAATTCAATTAAAAGTTGGCTTCTAGCTGTATTCCTGAATCTGTATTTTACACAGATGTTAAGCTAATGTGTCCTCCTTACAGGCTACATTTAAAGGATGGATGGACATTATGTATGCAGCTGTCGATTCAAGAAACGTAAGTATTATACATATACTAAAGTCTTTTTTATGTACAAACTCTGAAGTCTATGCTAAAATAGGTATATATAAAATGAATGAAATAAAAAATGAATGCATCCATATGACTAAAAATTCTGCTAAAACAAATTATTGTAAAATGATAGTAAAACTTTCATTAAGCTAAAGCAGAATAAAAGTACATTAATTTAAACAGAAAACATTGTGGTACTATCTCAAGGCAAATGTATTAGAGCCTTTTGTCCTGAGTTGCTGCTTGTCAGTTAGTGTTGACATGAAATGATAGTACTGATATTTTGCATTGTATTTATTTGTAGGTATTGGACCAACCTAAGTATGAAGACAACCTATACATGTATCTTTATTTTGTCATTTTTATCATTTTTGGGTCATTTTTCACCCTGAATCTGTTCATTGGTGTCATCATTGATAACTTCAACCAGCAAAAAAAGAAGATAAGTATTTCATCTCTGTTATAAAAGTAATATTACTTTTTTACAGTTGTAATATATGAGAATGTGGCATGCACTACATAGAATGCATTAAATGATTACCAAAAATAAGGTCCACCTTGTATAGAAGGGTGAGGACTGGCTCAGATAGAAATATTACAAATTGTCTACCAGTTACTGGTTGAACCCTTTCCATCTCAAAGATGGCTAAACTTCTTGTGGAAGATGCTATGACCATAAAAAAACACAGAATTTGATAACCTGATTAACACGATATTTGTATCTTGTCTAAGATATTCTGAATTCCTAAACTAAAATCTAATTATCTTAACGGTTAATTAGACCCATTCTTTGATATTCAGCTCATGGCCATTTGTCTCCTTTGATCTCCTGGCAAGAATGCATTTAAAATCTGTTTCCATAATAAAATATAAAAGCAAGCATATGTTTCCTTTTAGTCATGTTCCTCTTACAAATGTGAATAAAGTTTTGAAAGACTATGCCTTTAAAATGGTTATAATCAGTTTTGATTTCATTCCTTTACTTTGGAGGTCAAGACATCTTTATGACAGAAGAACAGAAGAAATACTACAATGCAATGAAAAAACTGGGATCCAAAAAACCACAAAAACCTATACCACGACCAGGGGTAAAAATGTATATGTTGATCTGTCCAAGCACTAGCATAACATGGGGTGGGAGAACAGGGCACATGTCCTAGGCAGTGCCTACGGGTGGGGTGCCAGAAGGACAGGGAGGTAATGCTTCATCCTACCACCTCTCACTCTACCTGCACAGAGGTCTTCAGGAAGTACCTGACACACAGGTAATGCATGTAGTGGAATTCTGGGAATTGTAGTTTTGTAGAGCAGCAGTGGAGTTTGCTGCTGGGGGGTAGGGAGGGGGCAGGGGAAGAACTCACCTCCATATTTCACTGCTGAAAACTGCATTTTTTGCCCTGTCAACATGAGCTTTGGTGGCAAAAAAATGGGGAGTAATTTCCCCATTGGCAGCACTGACTTTCACTGACACTTTAGGGAACTACAGTTCCCAGAACATCTTGTACTCCATGACACACATTGGTTGGCCATGCTCCTGCCCACTGCCTTGTGCAGAACAGGGGCAGTGGGCTCCTGCCCACTGCCTTGTGCATGAGAACAGGGGTGTGAAGGGTGAGAGGACTGCTCTTAGAGCATTCTTTGAACATTATGCGTCCATAACAAAGCAACCAGAAGTGAAAAACTTGCACATTTTTAGGCATATTTCATCTATAAAAAAACTAATGTACAAGTTGTCTTTAAGCAGTATATCAGTAAGCAACATGGAAAATTAGCATGGAATGAAAGGAACTGTTTCCACTGTAGGAAAAATCTGTTTGTTTATTAATAAAGGGCACGTACATATTTTGGCAGAAATTTTCAAAGATGCCTGATGACCATATATGCCCAAGTCTCTCTAAAATTCAATGGAGATTGGATGCCCAAATTCTTTAAGGCGTTTTGAAAACCTAATATTGTATTATGGCATATTACAGGTAGAACTGTTTCATAGAACTGACAGAAACCCATCTGTGGCGGTCGAGTGGTAGGCCGGGCTGTGGCCAGTAGCCCAAAACGGCAGGCGGGTACTTTTACCGATGGAGCGGAATTAGGCACTGAAGCGTATTGGTTGAACAAAGAGATTGTTTACCTACGCCGTCGGTGTATACGGCGTAGGAAGAGTTGACTAGCTTAGTTGCAGTTACAAACGCAGAAAAGACACTCTCAAAGATGCGAGAGAAACGAGATGAGACAAGAAGAAATTTCTGTAACCGGCTTACAGCGGTACCGGGGTCGGGGGTATGTTGGGACAGTCGAGGACGGGGAGTCGTTGGTGGGTGATCAGTCCACCAAGTTCACTCCGAGGTGTGCACGGAGTTCTCCGACTTGGGCGGAAACTGCTTTAACTTTTATATGACTAACAAGCCAATCACTAGTCGCCAAATATGAATAATTTAGAACTGGCCAATGGTGGTGTGCGTGCCCGCACAAAGTTGGTGGGAACTTTTCACTGCACCGGGGTTTTCTACCGCAGCGGAAAATTCCACTGTGGTGGGAAACGCCACAGCGTTATGGACATCAAATCAATGAAACCTTCCACTGTGACATAGGCACTCAACTCATTTGGTTATGACACCATCTATTTAAATTTACCTAGCACTTCCCATCATAGTGTCCAGACTGCAGTTGCTTGTAACAGCCAGCTGTCATTTAGGTCAGAATTTCTCATTGTTGCTGGCTAATTTTTTTCCTGGAAAGTTCAGCAAAAAAGAATAAAAGATGTCTAGAACTTGGAGGACAATCAAGATATATGCCACAGTTAAATAAATGGTCCAGAGTCCTGCCACTACACAAGCTTTAGTTAAAGCACTCCATGGCCATTTTGAAACAACATGATGGTGAGGTGATGCTTATTCTAATTAAAATGTGGAGCAGAGTTGATTGACTCTGCTCTGACACGTTCCAGTTATAACACTAACAAGCATGTCTGCAGGTACCCTTAGTGACTGAGCTTAGCGATGGGCACCCTAGGGGTTGGAAAAACAAAAGACCAGTCCACTAACACTCTCTGGCTGGATAGCATGCCTTCATGTGACTTTGTAGTACTCCTTGCAGGGGCTCTGAATGTGTGTATACCCCTGTAGCACTCCAATTTTTATAGTGCTGCCAGTGCTTAGGCACTTGCAGTGCTATGCATGAACTTGTGTTTAAGGCCTAAGGTAGTGAAGTGAGACTCACTAGAGCTGGATTCTAGTCAATGTCCTGCCTTGGACATCTCTGAGATGGACAAGAATCACAATGCATGCATTTATTGGGACTGACTTAAGTTGTCATATTTGTATTATTATTTGATAAGGCTGAACTTTTTATTGAAATGTCATATGATGACTTATAAAGAGATTACCTTTATAAATAAATTAACCTTCTTCCAATATAATATAAAAAAGAAGAAAAAAGTCAAGGTGTGGATTACATGGTTCTCTCTTTTTGTCTTTTTTTCTATTCCCAGAACAAGTTCCAAGGCATGGTCTTTGATTTTGTGACTCAACAAGTATTTGATATCACCATCATGATTCTTATCTGCCTTAATATGGTCACCATGATGGTAGAAACAGATGATCAGAGTAAAGAGATGGAAAATATTTTACAGAGGATTAACCTAGTGTTTATTGTACTTTTTACTGGAGAATGTGTCCTGAAAATGATCTCACTCCGCTATTACTACTTCACCATAGGATGGAATATTTTTGATTTTGTAGTTGTCATTCTCTCCATAGTTGGTAAGAAACACTTATATTCAAAAAGCAACATAATGAATGGAAGAACAAATGCTGGTTTTAAAACTGGTAGTCATTTTTATTATTTAACAATAATAATTTAGAAGATCAGACATTTACTTTACTTCCACTTCCAAAATTTACAGTAAATGAGCACAAAATAAAGTATTTTTAATAATGAGTTATTGTATCAGAGGCAAAAATAACCCTCTCTTAATGCTGGTGTGTGTTAATATCTACTTGTCTGATAAAAATGTACTGCAAAAAGAGCTAAAATGAAAATAGGACCTATGTTATGCCTTTTCTCAGGTCCCTTTAAGAAAACCTTACTCCCCTCACCATTCAAAATCTAAGGCTATATTAGGTCTGTCCTAATTTAAATTGTTGTTAAATATTATCCCCTTACAAAGGTGTTTTTTAATCTGTTTGTTTGTTTTACAGGTATGTTTCTATCTGAGTTGATTGAAAAATATTTTGTGTCCCCCACCTTGTTCAGAGTCATCCGACTCGCCAGAATTGGTCGAATCCTGCGACTCATTAAAGGGGCTAAAGGGATCCGCACTCTGCTCTTTGCTTTGATGATGTCTCTTCCTGCTTTGTTTAACATTGGCCTCCTGCTCTTCCTGGTCATGTTTATCTATGCCATATTTGGAATGTCCAACTTTGCCTATGTTAAGAGGGAAGCTGGGATTGATGACATGTTCAACTTTGAAACTTTTGGCAACAGCATGATCTGCCTATTTCAAATTACCACATCTGCTGGTTGGGATGGCTTGTTAGCACCAATTCTTAACAGTGGGGAACCAGACTGTGACCCATATAGAGTTCACCCTGGAAGCTCCGTTAAAGGAGACTGTGGTAACCCTTCAGTTGGGATTTTCTTTTTTGTCAGTTACATTATCATATCATTTCTAGTTGTAGTAAACATGTATATTGCTGTAATTTTGGAGAACTTTGGTGTTGCAACTGAAGAAAGTGCTGAACCTTTAAGTGAGGATGACTTTGAGATGTTCTATGAGGTTTGGGAAAAGTTTGATCCAGATGCAACTCAGTTCATGGAATTTGAGAAGCTATCTGAGTTTGCAGCTGCACTTGAGCCTCCTCTTCATTTACCAAAGCCCAACAAAGTCCAGCTTATTGCAATGGATATGCCCATGGTAAGTGGTGACAGAATTCATTGCCTGGACATCTTGTTTGCTTTTACAAAGCGTGTTTTGGGTGAAAGTGGAGAGATGGATGCACTTCGAATACAAATGGAAGATCGGTTTATGGCAGCCAATCCTTCCAAAGCCTCCTATGAACCAATTACAACCACATTAAAACGTAAACAGGAAGAAGTATCTGCTTCCATTATTCAGCGTGCTTTCAGACGTCACCTTTTAAAACAAACAGTAAAACAGGCTTCATTTATATATAACAAAAATAAAAATGAAGGAGGGGCTGGTCTGTGTATTAAAGATGAAATTCTCATTGACAAGTTGAATGAAAACTCATTTACAGAGAAAACAGACATGACCACCTCAACAGCTATTTGTCCACCTTCTTACGATCGTGTGACAAGGCCAGTCAAAGAAAAATATGAACATGAAGACAAAGACGTCCAGGAGAAGGAAAAGTAAAATGCAATCAAAAAATCTGTTTGTCTGAAAAACTGTTTACAACCTGTGAAGGTGTGGTAGATTTGTGTCAACAGGACTCCCGTAGGAGGTCTATGCCAAACAGACAGTTTTTACGAATAAACTGTATATTTAAGGTCAGTGCCTATAACAAGACAGTGGCCCCTCGTCAGTAAACTGTGACTGTAGTATAGGGAAACAACTTTGACAGGTGGTTACTGTTACTACCAGCTGACACTGCTGAAAAGGAGAGAAAAAATGGCTACTCAGACTGTAGGGACCAGTTAAAAGGGGTGTAAACCAATAAATTCTGTGTTTAACATAAAACACTTAGTACAGTAACTGTATCCACTGTTTGCATTTCAACTGCCACATTTGTCATATTTTTACAAAATCTATGTTGGTGGATTCATCTTTTTTTTATTCATATGTTGTTTATTATATGTGACTATTTTTGTAAATGGGGTTTGTGTTGGGGTAGGGGGTTAACTACTACTTTACAGGTATGAGGACCAGGTGTTCTAGTATATGACTCTAATATACACACAGAAATGATTTGCATGAAGGCATGCTGCACTTATAGATCATGCATGAAAAAACATTAAGTCACAAAGAATAAGATTTTTAACTTCTTGGTGTTTCTGGGAGGGAGTAATACATTTTGAGGTGCTTAATTAATGTATTCTTGTTATGTCACATCCAAACAAGTCTTTATATGCCTGTAAAGTCCCCTGTGATCCACAAGAACAGAACGGATGGATATTTTTTTACACAGACCATTAAATCTCAGCAAGTGCAAACTTCTTTCTAAGGTCTGAAGTCATAGATTTTGTCTCTTTGTCAGATGTTTTTTCTGTATGAAAATATTACAAGAATCTGCCCTAGAACATAAATTGACCAAAAAAGAACCCTTTATCGAGTTGTTCTGCTTTATCCTGCAGTATTGTTTAGCCATCTTCAGCTCTCAGTAAGGTTGACATTGTATGTTTAATGAAAAGCTCTCTGTTCTGTAAATAGCAATTTTTAACATGTGGTGCATGTTTGAGCAAACCAGTAATGATCTGAGCACATTTATTGCATCAAATATGTACCACAATACATGTAGTGTGCAAGCTTTCAACAGGTAAAATTATGTATTCTCTACCATTATAGATAGTTTGGATGCTATCAATGCATGTTTATATTGCCTATGCTGCTGCTGTTTTGACTGTCCAGAATTCTCAAATATGGGAAGCCATACATCAGAGGTAATGTGAAACAAACTGTTCAACAAAACCTCATTCCTTCATATCATTAAGCAATAGTTTGCAGCTATTTACCTTTTTGTTTTCCATTTTTAAACTTTATGTGAAAAGCATAGTGTATAGCCAGACTGTACAGACACATTGCAAACTGCTAAACCTGTTGAAAATAATGTGGTTAGAATTTTATAAGCAAATATAAATACTGTAAAAAATCATTTTATTTTATTTTTCAGCATTATGTACATAAAATAAGAAATGAATTTTATCTTCAGGTTGAAATCACAGCCATTTTTGTTACTTTCTGTCCATAGTAATTTTTTGTGGAAGAACTTCAGAGAATAAGAAATGAAAAAGAGAATGGGTAGTTGTAGAGTTTTTTATTTATATTTGCAAACATTTCAGTTTGCAATAATATTCTGCTAAATCCAGTCAGAATTTGCTTGCTTCCAAAAATCTATATTTTTGCAGTTGAAAGAGGATGTAGGATGTAAAGTTTTGTTTGAATTTCTAGTAGTGCCTGCATCAGAAGCTTTAAGATAAAATTTTCTTTCACAGATTCCTTAATCTTTTATTTACGTAGATCCTTTTATTCATATTAATTCATGCATCATTAGAAATGCTATAAATATTAATCCAGGGTCCACAATATTTTTTCACGAAAAAGTAGCAAAATTGTATAATCAAACACATCAGGACATTTTACGTTTCTTACACAGGAATATTAAATATAGACTTCTTTTATTAAAACTATTGACTTAAACTGTATTAGTGAACTGCATGCAGGAAAATGCTACTATTACCCTAACTGATGCTAAACAACATTACTAATGCGCCAAAATAATAAAAATTACATTTTTTTATTGTATGCTTTTGGCTGTCTGTTTTTATTAGCTAAAACAAATGTAAAATAAAATGTTATGAAGCATAAAGTTCTGATCCTACAAAACTTAACAGGTGGCCATACTGCTTTATTATCAGTAAAAATCCTATTGCTATCACAAAACTACAACAAATGGTTTGTATTTAGGGTGACCCCTCCCATGGGCGACCGGTGCTGTTTTAGTCATTGGAAGGGGGAGGGAGGGGACACATGTCCCCCCAGTGACCAGTTAGCAACTGGGGGGGATTCTCCCACGGCCAATTCTGCCAACTGGGGAGGGGTCCCCCCTCTGCCAATTTTGCTGACCGGGGGGGGGGAAGTGCGGAAGCACAGCCGGTAAGGGGGTGCACCAGTGCTCCCCCTAAGCGTGACCATTGACCCCTCCCTTCTCTAATTGGGTGGGACAGATCTGAAATGTAAAGATCAAGTCCAGTCCTGGGCTGAATGACTCTGGGACAGCATTTGTTCCAGATTTCCCTCAACAACTATCATCCCAGTATCATGTGAAGGGATCCTGGTTTTGTGTTCACTGCTAGGGGCTAGTGGGGAACAGGTTGCAGGGGGCACCACGTGCATGTGTGCATGTGCACACATGCATGTGGCTGGCAACAGAGTTGGGCAGTGGTGGAGAACAGCTCCCCCAGCTGCCTGCAGGTAAGTCTATGGGCCAGAAGGGGCATAGGTAACGGTGGGGTGGAGACCAGATTGAGGGGCCCCCATGGTGAGGGAGTGAGTGGGACTGGGTTGGTGGGAGTGCTGTCCAGTCTGGGTGATGCAAGGGGCCTGGGGCTGGAATGCGCAGCTATAGGGCCCAGCTGGGGAGTGGGATGAAGCCACAGGGGGTGGCAGGGGTGCTGGCTCCCCACTGTTGCACATACTCCCCAGGAGAGAGGTACAGGAGGGCACATGGCCACCCCTGATTTGTATGTGGGGCAGGGGTAAACTGCCTCCTGAGGGTCAGGGCTCCACATCCTGCTGCCCTCCCCTCAGGGCCTCCGCAGCCCAGTGGGTGGGACCCAGCGCAGGAGGGTGGAGAAGGACAGGAGGCTTGGGGTCCCGCTTTTATATTTTGAAAGGTGGTCACCCTATTTGTATTGCCACTGGTAATGTTCACAGGATTGTGTAACAACCTCCCCCCCTCCCCCCACACACACACACATAAAAAGGCATATTATAAATAATGTGGGCCGGGGGGGAACAGCAGCAATGTGTTGGAACAACAGGAATAGGAATAGCAATAGCAATAGGGGAACAACAGTAATGTGAATAGGACTTTATTTAAAATTTTCCTAGCAAGATAGTTTATTTTAACATATTATTTCATCTTTTTAAAAACTGCAGCTTTTTTCCTTTCTTTTTCTTTTCTGCCACTTTTATTTTCACTGAGTAGACTCTTAGAGCACTTACACATGTGCAAGGCTGCTCTGACGTGCTGTAATTAAAGTGTGTCAGAGCAGACTCGATGAGTCTGCTCGATGAGTCTGCTGGAGCGTGTTAATTACTGCACTCCATCAGACTCCAGCATCTCATATATTAGTGTCCCTCCACTGAAAAATGTTGGTGGGGGCACTTTAATTAAAGCTTGTTTGACGAGCTTTAGTTAAAGTACCCCACCACCATTTTTCAGCGTGGGGACGCTGATACATCAGACACTCCAGGAACTTAAATTGGAGCGGCTCTCAGAGCTGCCTTAATTAAAGTGCCCTCCTCGCAACCCCAAGCACATGTATAAACACCCTTATTGTACAAACAACTATGCAGGGCCAGTTCTATCCATGGTGGCAGAGTGAGCAGCATCAGAGAGTCTCTAGGATTAATGCAGTTGCTGTTTGCCCTGGCTATTGACACGTTGCCAACAGGGCTCCATAGCCCAGATTTCACTGGTGGACTTTGCCCCACATTCCTGGCCACTCTAGGAGCTCCTGGGACTAGAAGACATGGCTCCATGGGCTAGATCTTAGGGCTGTGCGAAGCTTCAGTCACTGACTCGAATTTGGCCCGATTTGGTGGGCAAATCTCCAAATCGAATCAGGAGACCTTTAATCTCTCCAAATCAAATCGGAACCTTCTGAATTGATCTGGAAAGATTCAGACATAGACACAGCTTTAAATATTTTTTCTACATACCTCAAGGTACCAGGTGGCTCAGGAATGCTGTGATGCTGGGCAGATGGAGCCAACACAGGAGTGTTGGGGGTTCCCAGCACGCTCAGCAGCAGACCCGGAAGTGGACCAGAAGTACTTCCACTCTACTTCTGTGTTCGCTGCAGAGCATACGGGGCATGGCAGGCACGCTCCTGTGAGATGCTCCATCTGCCCCAGCATCGCAGGATTCACGAGCCACGCCTGGTACCTCGAGGTATGTAGAAAAAATATTTAAAGTTGTGTCTATGGCCGAATCGCTGATTCTCTAAATCAGCACTGAATCTTCAGATTTGGATTCAGCCAAATCAAATCGGGGACAGTGATATGAATCAACAGATCGACTCACTGTCCCTCATTTGGGCCAAATCTGAAATCGAATTGAATAGGGCCCGTTTCGCACACCCCTACCAGATATGGCCTGTGGACGGTATGTTTGAAACCCCTGTCACAGATCAAAGTCCACATTGGTTGCACTTAGAAAGAATCTACTCCTGGCAAGGGGTGAAGGTCAGTTACGTTTAATACTGCTCATCATATGATATAGTTAACTCATCTGCAGATCATGACAGAAGTTGATAAAGCTGTTGCTTTACTTCCTTAAATAGAGAGTGGAAAGTAGCTAGAGTCTCTTCCTCTCTTTGGGCACTCTCATGTGGTATTTGGGACCATAGTTGCTAGATTCTTTTTCCTTCTTAGGAAACATGTAATTCACAAAAAATGGAAGAGAAGGAAAG